TTACTGAACTGTGAACATATCCAAGACAATGAGGAGAAAACCAAAGTCTCTTCAACAGTTGCTGGGATAATTTATAGGCCACAGGATGAAGCTGGTCTCCTGCCTCACATAATATACAAAAAATTGGTCAAAAAGTTAATTTTAAGAGCCCAAAATAAAACAAGACAAAATTTCTTAGGATTAAGTATAGATCCAACTGTACATGACCTTGGGCTGAGGAGATGGCTCATTTGTAAAGTACTTGGAACACAAGTATGAGGCCCAAATTTGACCCCAAGAACCCACATAAAATGCCATGCATAGTGGTTGCACACTTGTAGTCAGCACTGGGGAAGCAGAGACAAGATCCCTGGAGCTCACTGGCCTAGCTAGCTTAATGGCAAGTCCCAAGTCTCAAGGTGTACAGATCCTGAGAAAAAACAGCCAACATTGAATTCTGGTCACCACATGCACATGCACACATTGGCACACACAAAAAGCATGGGATGGGAATGAAAGAGATTGGATTTGATCAAAAAGTGTTTGTGTGAGTACATGCATAGTGCTCATGTGGAGGTCAGATGGACAGCTTTCAAGAGTGTTCTTTCCTTCCACCATGTGAGTCCCGGGGATTGAACTTAGGTTTTCAGACTTTGCAGGCAGTTGCCTTTATCCACTGAGCCATCTTGCTAGCCTCAATTTAAAACTTTATACTTCAGCTTATACTGCTAAAACAGTAACATTGGGTGTGGTGGCACACACCAGTAATCCCAGCACTCAAAGAATGTCTCTGAAAAACAGTAGAGAAAAAAGGAAGGGGGGATCTGCAGAATGGGACAGTTTTTGAACACCATGTAAGTTACTTGTATCTGTAATATCGCCTCACACCTACTAGGATGGCTATCTTTTTTTTTTTTTTTCAAAGAATGTGAGGTGGATAATGGTTTGCAAAGTTATAGAGAATTAGAATCTTCTTATGCTGCTAAAGGAATCAAAAAAATACAGCAACTAGGAAAATTTGGGGATTCCTCCAATGGCTAACAGTGCTATCACATGACTTGGCAATTCCAATCCTAAGTATATAACCAAGATACATGAAATCATATATTCATTCACACAGAAACTTGTGCAAGGGGCTGGAGAGGAGCGATGGCTCAATAGTGAAGAGAATGTATTGCTCTTACAGAGGACCTGAGTTGGGTTCCAACACCCATGCTGGATGGTTCACAACTGCATGTAACTACCCAGCTCTAGGGAATCTGGCTCCCAACTTCTGCAGGCACCCTTGCACAAGGCATGCACGCACACATGTGCACGCAGAGTTTAAAAAGAAATGTTAACAACAACAAAAAAGTGTCCAAAAGTGTGCATAGTATCATTTTCCAATAGGCAAATGGTAAAAAAGCAACACATATGCTGGGCATGGTGGCGCACACCTTTAATCCCAGCACTCAGGAGGCAAAGGCAGGCAGATCTCTGTGAGTTCAAGGACAGCCTGGTCTACATAGTGAGTTCCAGGACAGCTGGGGCTACAGGGAGACCCTGTCTCAAAAAGACCAAAAAAAAAAAAGCAAAAGCAACACATATGTTTATTAGTTAAGGAACCAGGTAAACTGTAGTAAATAATCTATACAGTGGAATGTTAGATTGGCCATTTGAGGAAATGCTAAAATATGAATAGACCTTGAAATGACGCTAAGTAAAAGAAGCAAGTTACAAAAGTACAGAAAGGATTTCATTTGTATAAAATGTCTAGAACAGGAAATCAGTATAAACAGTATGTTAGTGATTGCTTAATGCTGTGCTGGGGACAACAGCTAAAGGGTACAGGGTTTCTTTACAGAGTAATGAAAGCATTCTGGAATTAGAAAGTAGCAAGGTTGGACCACCTTGGGAATATACTAAAATTGTGTAATCTAGTTGCATTAATATACTTGTGCACTTTAATGAATTGTTACGAGTATTCAGTGTTTGGAAAATCATTGAACCAGTCAGGCATAATCTTTAGGAAAGTAGTGAGGTCAAGATGAACTGACCAAACTGTGGCCATCAGAAATGCCCATGGGCTCCTGGGTTCCCATTTGTTCATGTGGGACCTAGTGTCAGGGAGGTAATGTGGTCGCTCCTCTTTGGCATTGCACCAGTATGGCTGAAGCATAGCACAAGTCTGCCTTCTGCAAAGCTGTGGTAAGAATGTTGCTCTTCTTCTGGACTACATCTCTACATCACCAGGAGGTCTCCTGAATGCAAACTCCTACATGTGGCAAACAGCTGAGTAAACACCCATCTGACACAACCTCAAAATTCCTCGGCGATGCTCAGGACCAACACCCCCTGGAGCCAAAGCACAAGAGCTAGCCAGCTATGCATGAGGCCTGACAGCCACTTCCATAACCCAGCCTTCCTGATGACATCTGTGGACACACAGGTCTTATGTCTCAAGACTGTCCTCCAGAGCCTGGCTAGGTATTTCCCTTCTCTGGGCTTTGGCTTTATTGATGGCAGAATGTGACCTGTCTAAAGTGCTTTCCAGGTCAGGTGCAGTTTCCAGTAAGTTTATTACTGTTTTTCATAGAATGTACACTAAGATATGTATCTCTGCATTTTCAAGGACCATGACTCTCCTGCCAATATGATCCCTGTTTTCATTTTGTTTTTAAACCAAACTCAAGTACAATGATAGCGAAAACTTCCTGTCAATCTTGAGACTAGCTGATCTCCAGCCTCAAATTCATTTTGTGGGGCTGAAGAGATGGCTCAGCAGTTAAGAACACTGGTTGTTCTTACAGAAGACCCAGGTTCGAATCCCAGCACCTACATGGCAACTAGCAACTGTCCATAACTCCAGTCCCAGGGGATCCGACAGCCTCTTCTGACCTTCGAGGGCACTGCACGACACAGGTGCACTTACCTACATGCAGGCGATACAGCATACACAGAAAATAAAAATAAATTTTTTTTTTTAAAAAATCACTTTGTATTTAGTTTGATCATTTTTCACACATCTTCAGTCTTCCCCCTCAAAGCCTCCTGTTCTCTTGTCATGGAGCACTGGCACATGTGTTAGTGACTGTAACAAGACTGCTGCTCTTGTCTACTCAGGCTATTGCCTTCTTCCTGGCTCTCTGCTATGCTCTGGAGGTGAGGTTTCCAGAAGAATGAAGCCGGCTAAATGCAGCAATGTTAACATGTATACTGGAGCTTTTGCAGTCCTAGCTCTGAATAATGGCCCTCCCTATGTCAATATTTCTCCTGTCTTCATTATTAAAAACTAAGAGTATATTTTTTCAGTGAAAACATCCAATCTGAGCCCTTTTTTTGCTTATCGGGTAGAATCCTGGGGAGGTACAGAAAAGCTCCTTTCTGCTCAGAGGCCAAGCCGCAGGCCCCACCTTGGATCAGGCCCAAGCCCCAGCCCTTCCTGGAGCCTCATGTGGTGCTGCCAAGCACAGGCTGGAAGCCGAACTGCCACGTTCACACACACTCTCCTTTACGTTCCTCAGACAGTTGTTACTAATTTAGAGAGCCTGAGGTTTAGACATCAACCAACACTTTCCACTTAAATCACTTAGGTATACATTCTTCTCCGAAAACCTTGTTTTGCTGAAATTAGTAATTATCTGTAAGCTACACCAGCCCACCCCAGCTTTGGTTGTCTGGACATGCTCAGTGTTGTGTTGGTGACTGCATACACAGGCATTGGCAACAGCTCACTGAGAGGGGAAGGGGCTGGTTCTCTTAAGAATTGTGACGCATCTTTGTCCCTATGCAACCGTATTTGATGGGCCCAAGCTGGTTTAATCTAGCAAACTTCAAAGCTCTAGAAGGCTCTGCCCAGGTCCCAGTCCTATCCCCTGGTAACTGGCAGCTCACTGGCTGTCTCAGCAGCAGCTGCACTTCTAAGTCCTTGATTGGGCTAGCAAAGACCGCCCTGGTTTGGGCCTTGCACTGACCTAGACATCACCCCTAGGTAGCCTATCTTCATCTGGCAGTGAAAGAATACATGGAAGGCCCTCTCAAAGGTGGGCCCTAGGACCTTGCAATTTCATGGTGGTTTTCTAGTCTGTGTTTTGACCTCTGAACTCTGTAGTGTGTTCTCACAAAAGCAGACAAAAAAAGGCAATCTAGAGCCACTGCTATGCACATCAATTGTGAATATTTGTCTTCCATTCAGATACCTAGAAAGCAAACTTTGTTTTCATGGTGATACAAATTAGTATGTCAATTCTGGTATTCCAGAGCTCCCAGGTCCTGCTGTGGATCACAAACAAGCATACATGTCCAGAGCTGTCATGTAGTGAGGGAACCATACCTACCCTAGAGTAGCAGACTGAGAAGCCTGTGAAGTTCTGTTCTCTAGAGAGAACACTGCCACTAGGAAATGGTACACATCTCACCATGAAGCTAACTTACCAAAGCTCATGCTTTCCCCTATCACAATGGGAGCATGGTACCGCCACTGCAGTTTGGGTAGTTGGGTGGGGTCTGGCATTTTGTGAGGATTCGGGGGCCAGGAGTTTGTCTGGAGAAGTTGGGAGGAAAAACGGGCTTGGAGCATCTGCCGTAGCAGGGTGAAAGGCACCATTCCCAGAGAGCCTCAGTTCGGAAGGCTTTGTTGGCAGGTGCCAAAGCTGTGAAAGTCTGTGTGGAGCCCTGCAGATACCTACTTGGGAGTTGCTGTGCTCATCTGGGCCCTGAGAAAGAGTTGACAGCCGTGCCAGGTGGGAGGCAGAAAGCTGGTGAAACTGGATAGAGTTGTACAGTGATGAGACCTAAGGAAGGTGACAGCCATGAGTACCTGGAGGTGGCAGAACTGCAGAAAGGGCTTGAATGGGGTGGGGATAATTGGGGGCAAGAGTAGGGCAGCATAGCCAGCACCAGCACATGGCATGTGCATTACCTTGATCTCAGACCCCCATAGTTTTTCTGGTTTTCAGCCAGCCCCTGGAACAGCAACCCCGCAACCCAGCTTACGCTCCTCCTGGATGGATCCGTCTATAACCATTTCTTTTCCCATACAGGAAAAGTATCCCGACACTGTGCACCTCCCAGAGGGGGCGTGCTCCCACTGCATGGAGATCCACAGCACCAGCCGGCCAGGGTAAGCCTGTTCAGAATCACAACCTCACAGCCCTGGAAACAGGACTGTTCACAGTAGGGACTAAACAGAAACTACCCAAGGAAGACTAAGGATACCCATTGACAGTGGAAACAGGCAGATTCTGGGTAAATGTTTAGAGGCCTGTTGAAACAAGGAGGAATGGAGTGCTGGACTGAGTAAGAAATGAAATTTCCAGCAACAAAGTAGGTGCTTACACAATATCCTATCACTCTCAGATCATTTTCAAAGTATATTATGTCCCATGTTCACACTAGGAACATCCTGTTGCTTGTCTTGTTACTTATCATACTGATGTTTTCCACAGTGAGTAAAAGTATGTTGTTGTGGCCCTGGTTTCCATTAGCTGTAGAACTAATCACATTTTCTTCCCCTGTGGGTAGACATCTTTAGGAGCAGGTAAGCCTGCCAGACAGAAACTAGGTGCCAACAGGCTAATCTTTTTACCACATTCCAGAAGCACTTAACATTTCACTTCTTTTTCAGGTTTGAACTTGTGGTTGTTTGGAGGATACAAATAAATGAGGAAGGGAAGGTTTCCCCAAAGCTGGATCTCCTCACCAAAGTCCCACAGCGAGGTAGGGCTCTGGGTATGGCCACCCTTTCTAGGAGACTTCTCAGTGTACCTAACAAAGCCACCTGTGTAACTCATCCAGCTTTACATGGCAAGAATCAAAATTGAAAATCTCATTGTACTTTGTCTAATCAATAACCACCCAAAAACATGTAAGGGCGCTGTTCCCGAGGCCCTTGCAGGCTGTGTGCTGGAAGTCATTCTCCCTGCCTCAAGCTGCAAGGGGAAAGCTCCCTTTGGGTCCTCCCTGTCTCTAGTGCTTCCTGTTGTGTGGCAGTTGGGGGAGGGAGGGTCTGGTTAGGCAGACACTTGAGGTTTCTTACAAGGTTTATGTTTTCTTCACAGCCCTGGTGTTGGACAAAAACAGAGTCATAGAAACCGCCCCTTCGAGCTTCCAGACCCTGCTAGGAGTACTTGGAATTGAAGCTGCTCTAGACAGCCTGATAAAATTGCTTTGTGTGGGGAACAACTAGCTCCCAGCAGGATAACATGCAGGAATAAGATGCTGAACTGAGAAGTGTGTGACTTCTGTTATGAACATTTGTTTTTTTAGAAACCACATCCTTCAAATGTGCTTTTGTGTGCACTAGTAGCACAGTAGAAAACGTGAGAAAACAGCTCTTCAGGTACAAAATGTCAAAAGCAACACGTATAGTGCTTTTTGCAAGTAAGTTTAACATTTGAGAAAAATGTACCAAGAATGGTTGTCCACTCTGCGGTGGATGTGGAGGAGCTGTGCCTAACCTCCACCTCACAGCAACATCTCCCAACAACTCTTCATGTTCTTCTTGGTCTTCCACCAAAAAGTTGGGCTGTTAGCTTTAAAATAACGACCTCGCTGTTCCCTTCACATGGGACCTTCAGTGAAGAGCCTCTCAACAGGCTGAATGTGGTACATGACTAATCCCAGGACTTGAGACTGAAGCAGGAGGATCCCAAGTTTAAAGCCAGCCTGGGCTACATTGTGAGACACTGTCTCAAAACACTAAGGGCTAGGATAAATCTCCATGGTACAAAAGCCTAATATGCACATGGCCCTAGATTCAATCCCCAGCACCACTTAAGGCCCACCGACAGTTCAAGGTTATGTCATCTCAGACAGAGAACTGAGATTTGGTGAGTACTTTAGTTACCTATTAAAATGCTGCCAGGATGAGGGGTTGATATGGGTATCCTAGATTCTGAGGAAAGGGCAGAAACACAGTGGGGCTTATGCAGGAGGGGTGCTGCATCTGTGTTCTTTATGTCAGGAGAGGTTGCTTGTTTCCATTCTGTCTATCCAAGACAGAGCCCCTCACTAAGCAAATAATTCTCAAAGGCCAGCCAGAGTTGCAGACCACCTTCCAAAAATGCATCTTTCCCTGAGACTGCTCTGGAGCCTGGGGCCCAACCATCCCAACACTAGTCCATCTCCAAACCAGTCAACCTTGAGTCAAGACAAAACCAAAGGCCAGTTGCCCCTACACATCCCTAGAGCCATAAGAGCAGGACCTTTAAGCACCTGACTCAGGTGAAGGCTAGAAGTCCGTATCCCAGCATGCACCACAGCCAGAAGAAAATCAAATGCACAAGTGTCTTTGTACCTGAGTGTTCGTTCAATAGTTAGAATTAGGACAGAATTTAACAAATTCTACAAGAGTTGGCTTGATTCAAACAAGTATAATTCTCAAATTATCACAAAATTTCCCACAAAAGTTTACAATCAGCAAAATATTTTCCTCATTTTTCATGTAGCATTTTTATATAGCTCCGTGGTTTTGCTATTACATGTTACAGTAAGCCTTCATTAGTCCCTCAAAAGGATGATATAAATAATCAGTCTGTACAGCCTACCATATGATAAAAAAATGAAGCCAAAACTCCCAATGATTTCATAGCAGCCAGGCACACTTTTGGTGACCCCAATAAGAATCCTCTCCGCGCCAGCCAGGAGCCTTGTACAGCCTTGATGGGAACAGCAAGGCCCTGGGCCTGCCTACCCGACATGCCTCAGGCTAACCCAAGGGAGGAATGTGGCTTGGGAGGAAAGGAAACCTTGTTCCTCAACCACCCAAGACACAAGAGTGCCAGGAAAACTCTGGGCTGTCGGGCAGACCCACCCCAGCTGGCCACAGCAGCTCAGTGAGTTACAGCTCTGCTTCCAGCTCCAACAGCAGCAATTTCAGGTAGGAAAGAACTACTCATCTCCCCCTCGAGTTAAAGATAAAATCATAAAGCAGAATCAAAAAGTCAATGCTCATATGAATGGTGTCCACCCTGACCTGAGTCTTGCGCTCCCTGCTGCCTCTTTACAGAGCCATGGGCTTTAGTACCTCCACAGGGACCCTGAGTCTAGACCACTCAGAACCAATGTTCACACTAGCCACGCTCTGCAGCAGGGAACTAACCAAAGCCTGTGTTGATGTGTGGCTTGCATTGAAAAAGTGACCAGTAACAGCTGGGAACATTCCAGTAGTAGTCCATGTTTTCTTGAAAGTTCAAACTATAAGATATTTATGACAATTCAAGTTTTTTATGTTAAGAGTCTGGTGGTAGGAGATCCAAACCTTGGGTCTTAATAATAAGGCTTTTTGCATTAAAGAATTAGACATGAGCCCTGGTTGAAAGAACTATCTAGAATGTCTTCCCAGGGGCTTAACGGACACTTCCACTCTAAGGAAGTGGGTGGCTTCCTGGGCCACAGCACTCACATCCTACATTCCTTGTCCTGGAAGATATTTCTAGTGCTCTTTAATTCCTTTTCTCTGAGAGGCAATCTCACCTCAACAGGTGTTAAAAGCAAAAACATTCACAGCCAAGTCACCCAACACAACCAAAAATAGCTCTGTCATTCAATTTTCACATTCAAGTTTCAAAGACACTGCAGGGGAATAAACGTTAGACCTTATGGAGAACTAATGTGCAATCTTCACGTTCCTTGAACCGAGTCGACCTCACAGTGTCATCTTTGGCGTGCACAGTCTTTGAGTAATAGTTGACTATCTTGCTGTCCAGTTTATACTGGTGAGGAATGCTCTCATAGGGCTTGAGGTCGAGATCCAGTACAGACACAGAGAAGGCTAGCCGAGACCTTGATGAGGGAACAACAGGCCTCTGGTCAGAGCTGCAAGTAACAAAAGCAATTTCAGATTACACCGGCCCTCAGACCTTACCAGCCCAGCTCTCAGCACCCAGTCTATGTCTGTGTGCATCTACTGTTGTGCCAGCTGCACACACTAGTACATGAGGCTTCTGCCAGGTAACCGCCTGCTGTGACACAGGCCAGCACACTGTCGGGGGAGAGGATTAAAATAGGAGAAGATGGAAAAGCCATTATGTGGAATGTGTGAGTGATAGTCCCCATGCTCCAGTAGTATAACGAATGCTGAAAAAGTCACTTTATCATAAGCCAAGTATTACAGAACCTAAGAAAAAGTAAAAACTAGATCAGCTGTGCAGCAGCCAGATGGATGAATGTTGAAAACAGACTCTCATTATGTGCTTTCCCAGGCTGCTGGGAATGTACCTCCTTTATGCTTTTCCCATTTGGAGAGGTAGCTGGTTTCATGTTTTACTCTCAAGTCACATCTTCAATGCCTTGTATTTTGTTTATCAGGTTTTTATAAATATCAGAAAAGTTATAGAGCAGTATGAAAAGCTTATAGCAGTAAGAACTCAAAACATTTTGGAATAACTTGGAATCTGATACTGAAGTCACTGTGTATCCTACTTTGCTCTGAGAACTCGGCACACAAAATTCAAACTACTGACTGAGTGACATTTAATTAATCCTAAGTTATCATTAAAAATAAGATGGAAGCCGGGCATGGCGGTGCACACCTGTAATCCCAGCACTCGGGAGGCAGAGACAGGCGGATCTCTGTGAGTTCAAGGCCAGTGTGGTCTACATAGCGAGTTCCAGGACAGCTGGGGGCACAGGGAGACCCTGTCTCAAAAAAATAAAAAAAATTAAAAAAAAAGTAAAATGTCACTTCCCCCTTCAAGACTTACCTAGGGATTGTTTCCTGAATCAGTAAATATTCTAAAAGTTACCTAAGGAAAATTACCCCCAAAAAATTTAACTGTAGGCCGGGCATGGTGACACACGCCTTTAATCCCAGCACTCGGGAGGCAGAGGCAGGCGGATCTCTGTGAGTTCAAGGCCAGCCTGGTCTACATAGTTCCAGGACAGCTGGGGCTACAGGGAGACCCTGTCTCAAAAAAAAAAAAAAAAAAAAAAATGGAGAGGGGCTGGAGAGATGGCTTGGCAGTTAAGAGCACTGACTGCTCTTGCAGACCCCAGTTCAATTCCCAGCACCCACATGGTGGCTAACAACTGTAACTCCAGTTCCAGGGGATCCGACGCCTTCTTTTGACCTCCAAGGGTACTGCATGACACAGGTGCACTTACATGCAGGCAATACACTCATAAACTAAAATTAACAAATAAAACATTAAAAAAAAAATGGAGAGGCTGGAGAGATGGTTCAGTGGTTAAGAGCACTGACTGCTCTTGCAGAAGATCCAGGTTTGATTCCCAACATCCATGTGGCAGTTAACAGCCATCAGTAACTCCAGTTCCAGGGGATCCAATGCCCTCTTCTGACCTCCATGGGCACTGCATGACACAGGTGCACTTACAAACATGCAGACTACATTTATACACATAAAAAATAAAAGATGGACAAACACCAGTTTCAAAGATGCCTGAGTTGGAAGCCCAAACACTGACAAGCATGGGCCCGTTCTAAGTAGGCTCAATTCTTGCTCCGGAATCCTGTTTATACAGGGGAAAAAAATGAATTGGACTCAGTCGCAGGGTGACTGGTGACCACAAGCTCCAAATAATCCAAAGGCAGAAGCCAGTGTACACCACCCTCTTACACAGAAAAGCCTCAGGATCTAAGGCTAAGACTGAACAGGAGGCCCCAGGAGCACGCATCCCTACTGCCATGACCACATGACCCTCTAGCAGCCTTGGATACTGGTGCTAGAATGATCTGGAGTCAGGAGAGCTGCTGCCTCACTTGGACAGCTCTTCTCCAGGGTACTAACCAGATGTGAGGGATTAGGGGGTGAGTAGGGAAGCCAAAGATGCCCACGCCCAGCTTTTACCTCTTGCCTTAAATATAATTCATATTTATCAGTGTATTTATTAATATGAAATAAAATACTGAACCTGACGAAAAGCTCAGGATGAAATGTTAAGACAAAATACTAATATAAAATTCATAAGCAAATGGCTGCACAATAACCCAACCATTTCATTATTTTTGCACATGGTTTTCAAATTTTTGAACCAAAATCATGCTACAAAGTGCATTTCCACATAGCACCGGAGCCTCTGAGAGTTCTACAGATGAGAATTTGAGGAGAAGAACCAGAAAAAAGGTCCTACCAAGTCACACACTTAGAGGTGGTGGATTGCCCTTTGCCCCTTATCTCCTTGCCATTTTTTTTGTTTTTTTTGAGACAGGGTCTCCCTGTAGCCCCAGCTGTCCTGAAACTCACTATGTAGCCCCAGCTGTCTGAAACTCACTATGCAGACCAGGCTGGCCTTGAACTCACAGAGATCCACCTGCCTCTGCCTCCCGAGTGCTGGGATTAAAGGCATGCGCCACCATGCCCAGTTTATCTCTTTGCCATCTTAACAAAGGCAAAAGGGAGATGCTGCTCAGATTGAGCCTGGCCACTATAGCCAACCATACACCTCTGAGATTCTATCATTTCCATATCATTGATGGTCTCTCAGTATTTTTTTTAAAGCTTAAAAGTGAAACAATCTCCCTCTGTCTCTTGAAAAAAGACCAGATGTAATGCTTAATGGGTATCAATCCTCTGCCTCCAGCCCTTCTGGATATGTCCTCTCCCCATCCCAGCAATTGATTTCTGCTGGGCAGTTGGTTAAGGGTGTGGAAAGAACACCAGCCTTCAGCTCTCCCATGTGAATTGTACAGCTCACTAACAGCCTTTTCTGCAACTGCATCTGAGCACCCTGCATTCAAGTACCTTCCATTTCTCAACTGTCATTGACCAGGCAGGGGAGAAGGTAATACTATCTTTACGGGTGGCTCTCATCTAGCACAGTAGCGTAATCCAGGCAAGGGTTCCTCACAGATAAGCTACGGGGCTACTTCCTTAGGGGGATGACAAGACTTTGTACTAAACAGACCCAACTATCTGTGCTCCAGTTATTCCCTAGAAATATTACTCAACATGTCACACCAGAAAGTAGATGATTCTATGCTTGACTAGAATTCTATGCTTGACTAGAACTAGACTGAGAATCACTAAGCTCAAAAACATCAGAAAGATAGGTAGTTGGCAGCCATCCAAGCGACCAGGGTCATCCTGACCAGGAACACATCAGAATGAGGACCATTCCAGAAAGACATTGTGTAGGGTTTGGCGCCTCTAAGATGCTAGTTAAAAGATGATCAGGCACTTTCTGACTTACTGAAAAAAGCAAAAGGAGGCAACTATATTAACCATAGCATTTAGAGAGGTAGGAAATATGCTGGTTATTCAGAAGTTGAGCCAGAACAACAAATACGCTGTTTGGGAGGTTTAAAAATAAGTCATGGCTGTGAAAGTCAGCTCATCCCCACAAACTGTAGAGTTCAAAGCTCCAGCCTGGATAGGGCTTGGGCTTCCTCTGAAAGGAATTTGCTACTGTATTTTCTTAGAATAATCAAAGTTCCAATTTAATTCATAAATACAATAAGACTTTTTAAAATAGAAAACTCTTTGTTAATCTACATAAAAGCCTTTGATTACAAGTTTCTAGAGAACAATGAATAAACATCAACCTTCCCCCCAAAAGTCTTATAAAGAAAAGGCCCTGTGATATTAAATATACCAAAGATGCAGTGGCCCCATCAGGTGGGTCTCTAAATATGGGCGCCTACTCATCACTATTGCTCCATACAACTTTTAGACCAAGGCAGGTGTCATGCCTCACCTTGAATCCTGCAAACAAGGGGAGAGTGCGATCATGATGGAGCAGTCTTTGGCCGTCATAGCAACACGGTACTGCTGCACCTGTGGGAGGTGGGGGGAGAAGTCAGTCAGCTCCAAGTCATACAACCTCTCCACCAAGTCAGCAACTGGCTCCCATGACAAAACCCGAGGATAAGGTTAGGAGAATGGTTGGCACTGAGCAGTAAGTGGGAAGTCATTCCTGTGACAACACACAAATAAGACCCCACCCCATCTTCTGACCTCTCACTGCAAGCACTTGGACCCCAAATGTACCCCTGAAACATGATTTGCCATCAGCAAGTTAACCGGTCCGTCTTGGGGGGAGGGAGGCAAGAAGTTGCTTTAGCACACCCAGTATGTTGACCACACTGAGTATTTAGTATCATTCGTACTTTCTAGACACTCATGGGACATTGTGAGGAAGACCACTGATTAGAAGAGCCAACATTCTAAGGGCTCCATGTGCTTTAACTGCATCGTTGGCAACCTGACAGGGCAGGAACTGAGGTGTCCCTCTGTATAAATGAGAAAATTGATGGAGAACTGCTAGGTGATGACAGGGCTACACTCACAGGTGCCATGGCTCTGAACCAAGCTCTTCCTCAGTATGAGATGAGCAAACACGGGTCTGCATCATGGACCCACAGCAGTGCCTGCCAGGGCCTCCAGTGCAAATACTACTCAGGTGCAACGGGCACATGTGGAGAGACTAAAAGGTCAGCAGTTATGAAAGGGTCCACAATAGTCACCTTTGCAGCATACGATGTGCGGCAGTTGATTATCCCTTTGTTCTTTGGATTCTGATATTTCATTTGAGTATTTTAGATTAGAGAGCTCCCATGTTTACAAAAATTAACTAGTTACACAAAAGGAGTTGGGCTTTACATTATCAGTGGCCTTAGCATCTGATCAGATCTGATTTCCCTTTGACTTCACATAGCCAGGAGGAGCTGCCCTAGGAAAAGCTCCAAGCACAATGCATAGCAAGTCAGCTGGCTCTTCAGGGCCTGAGAAACCTGGGAGTAGGAAACACCTAGCTCCCATCCTTACACCCTCCAGTTAGCAAAGAAATTCATTATTTTATGACACATGTCCAAAATCCCAGTCAAAAAAAGAGCTTAATATAAAATGTCCTTAGGATAGTACCACACTTTCTGTCCAAGTACAAAACCAAGAACCCATACAACACAGATTTTAAAGCCTAAAAACTAAAGAGCTTTACATGATACAGTGTTAATTCAAAGGCTAAAGAGAAGAGTCTGGAAAAAATATATACTCAACCTAAAACTGAAATGCCGAGCATGGTGATGCATGCTTTAGTTCCAGCACTTGTGGAAAGAGAAGGCAGTTGAATCACTGCAAGATTGAGGCCAGCCAGGTCTACAATAGTGAGTTTCAGGTCAGCTGGGATTACAGGGAGACTCTGTCCCCAAAAAACCCAAAACCAAAGCAAAGCTGAAAGCAACATGAAAAATGTTTAAGGCCTAGCCAGGTGTAGTGGTATACATCTACAATCCCAGCACTTAGAAGGTAGAGACAGGAGAATCAGGGGTTCAATATCATCCCCTGCTGTAACAGTGAATTCAAGGCTAGCCTAGCTACACATGAAATAAATTTAAGTCCTATATATGAAAAGATAATCTTGCTATAAATCAAGGAAATATAAATTTTAACAGAGAAGCCTTTACTTCAAAGAGATCAATCCCAAAGCTGGATCAAAATGATGGTAGCCTGGCAGTCCTGCAAGGTCTGGCAGAGGCAAACCTAAAACTCTCTCTGGAAAAAAAGATGATCCTAGGAATCAAATGATTCCTAAAATGATTGTGAAAATACAATTTCTGGCACACAAGCAAAATATACAGGCACGAGAAGACAGGATGACATACATACAAGCCAACAAAAGAACAGCAGGGCGGGCAGACACGGAAGAGTCTATACGTCCTATTCAATCTTGCTGAGAACTAAAAACCGCTCTAAAAACAAATCCCACTTTGTTTTCTAAAAGAGCTACAACTGAAGAACAACCCCACAATAGGAGACAGAGAGATGCACAGGGACTCCAGCTGCTGGAGGCACCAGACATACATGCTGGTCCACTCAAAGAATCAGACCAAACAACCCCAGAAGAAAACTGGAAACTATAAAAATGAGCCATTTAGAAATTTTAGAATTTAAATATAAAAACCAACATTAACTAGTCAGCAGATGTTTTTAATGACAGATTATGAAAAAAAAAAAAAACTGAAGAAATGTGACATTGGATAGATGGGAGTAATTATAACAAAAGCAACAAAACTGCCTGACCAAGCCAGCCTTTGACATAAGCTAGGAGGCAGCTGACCACTGTGATGTAAAGTCTGTTCCAAGGCCAACTGTGATCTCCACATTTGTTATTTAAGAAGTGTAATACTAGCTATGCAGATAGGAGTTGGACAAAGAAAGGTGACAATTTGGGGGTTGGGACCAAAGAAGAAAAGAAATGGGGGGGAAAGGAGCAAAAGCTAAAGAGAATTGCTAAATTGAAAGAAAAAAAGCAAGCATCCAAAATGGAGCAGAGAAAGGAAAAGAGACGCAAAACAGAATGGGTGGGAACAGGACACTGAAGGCAGAGAGAACACATGTGATTCAAACCTAAAACAGTATAGACAAATACAAAACCTGTCAAAGTTTGGGCCAAAGGTTTTTTCTAAATTAAAGACACCAAGCCCTACAGATTCAAGAATGTCTCCAAAACCTAATATCTCTTACCACTAAGAAAAAAGTAAAATGCACTACCAAGCACTCCTGCACTAAAGGATACAGTAGAAGGTGTTCTTGGGTATGGTGGCTCACACCTATAATCCTAGCACTTAGGGAGGCTGAAGGAGGAGGACCATGAGTTGGAAGCCAGCTTGGACTACATGAGAACCTGTCTCAAATAATTTATAAAAACAAGGTCCCTAGATTTAAACAACAAAATGGAAATAATAGTCTTCATTTAAAAAAAAAAAAAATATATA